GGAAAGAGACGAGAGTGGAAAGGAAGTAAAAAGAGAGTAGAAGCACGGGGAATTCGTTCAGCAAAGAAGAAGACAGAGAAAGAAGAATAGCCAGCAGCGCAAGTGCTGCTGCGGCAGCTCCGCTGCCGCCTCTCAAAAAAAAGGGAAAGAAAGAAGTTTGCTGAATCCCAACGCAGTCTTCGGGTTGGACTAAAACCAGCATCTTCAGAAAAGGGGAAGAGAAGAGAAGAAGAAACCACTGCAGCACACAATACAAGCCCTTTCTATTCGTAGAAACAAGGCACGGAGAGGTAGGAAGCTCACCAAAGAAAAGCTTACATCTTGCTCTTAATCAGTAAGGGTATGGGTTAGCTTCAAGCAAAGCCAAGTGTTTTGTGATCCAGAACTGAAGAAGTTTTTTACAAGGGTGGGAGAGGAAGAAGAATAGATCGCTCTAATCTTGCTATGGAATATTTGATGCTGCAAGCGGATAAGAAGGCTGCGGAATCATCTCATCGGAGGGCAGTATGGCAGGATTCTCTTTAGGTGGGGGGGGGGGGGCCCGCCCCCCACCACAGGCAGGGCGGTGGCAGCGGTGGAGACGAAACCCAAATCCCACCCGAAAGCCTCTTCCTTTACACTACCGCCGCCACCGGTGCCGGCCCAAGCACCAGCGGAGCTCACCGCGGCTTCGAACTATGGCAACATCACCAGCGACAGCAACAACAACACCACCTTTACTCCGCTGCATCGGGTTCTCTCCTCGCCTTCGGTGGCAGCGATGATCCCCCCATCGGTCAGGGCCCCACCCGAAATGCCCCTAGAAGCAGTGGCGGCGGGATGAGCTGCCAAGACTGCGGAAATCAAGCCAAAAAAGACTGCATACACATGCGTTGCCGAACTTGCTGCAAAAGCCGCGGTTTTCACTGCCCAACACACGTTAAAAGCACCCCCGCTGCCAAACGCCGCGAACGACAGCAGCAACTTGCAGCTGCCGCCGCTCTTCACCAGCAGCAACGCCAACCCTCTCCTTCCCATCATCGCGCTGCTGCCTCAACTTCCGCCGCCGGTGAAACATCCAAACGGCCAAGGGATCTCTCTGTTCGCCTTCCCACCATCATTGCGACCTCCACTTCAGGTCCCGTTCATTTCCTTCCCTTTTCAATTATTTACTTTCTCCATCCACTTATTTTTTTGTACCTTCATATCCTCAGGGGGGACGGAGGGAGCTCTGAGCTTTCCGGCGGAGGTGAGTTCTCCGGCGGTTTTCCGGTGCGTCAGGGTGAGCCCAATGGACGAAGCAGAGGACCAGTTCGCTTATCAAACGGCTGTGAACATCGGCGGCCATCTCTTCAAAGGCATTCTCTACGACCAAGGCCCCGAGTCATCATCCACGTCAACGCAGTACCAACATCTACCACACGTCGGAGAGTCCTCTTCGGCAGGCGCCGCCGGCCGGGGGCCGCCGGCCGCCGCCGGCTTACTGTCAGATCCTTCTTCTCTCTACCCGGCTCCTCTCAATGCCTTCATGGCGGGAACACAATTCTTCCCCCATCACCCGAGACCTTAATTCTACCTATAAATTAATGAGTGTAGTAAGTAACGTTAATTAAAAAGTGGAGGGTTGATCTGATCGTCTCTCCGCATGCATTCATAATTGGATCTAATTAGATTTTTAGTATTCTCATTTCTAATCCTCAGTCTTCTTCCAATTCTAACGTATTAATTTTTCCTTCTCATGCATGGCATTTTTATGAGTTCAGAATCTCAAAAGGAAGAACAAGACCCTTCCATCGATCCATCTTCCATTTTACTTGCTACTGTGCTTTCTGTTCTTAGTCTTAATATTTATATGGTTCTATCGTATTCATTCACGCCAAACTATATAATTATAAATATATACACTTTAGAATTTTTTGTGTCGCTAAATGCTGTAGTGTGATTGATGGATTTGACCCTGGGGCTCCAAATATGTTGAAATGATCAGCTACTTCGTCACTGGAGTGAAGTGTAAGTTTCCATTACCAGCTTAAAATCCGGGGATAATTGGAGAGAATCTACATGTAAGGTTCATGTTCTCTCTTCCTCTCTCTCTCTCTCTCTCTAACCTTACATTCTCTACAAGGACAATGATGAGAGTATGCAATATATATTATATTATATTCTTATCAATGAATGATATATCATCTCACCCATGCTTTGCTTCGCAAATTTCGTACTCTGAAAACCTTAGATTTCTAAATCGATTTCAGAAATAGAGATTGTGTTAACGTGCTACGCCAGTAGAATGCATACTATTTAGAGTAGATTTGTGATAATTTTTTTTTTAATTTATCTTAAATGCATCTTATTTGCTTTATTTTACCCTTTTTCATAATTTTCATGCATTTTTCGAATGTCACCTTGATGCAATTTCCGGAGTTTATATTGCTCCTCTCTATCTCAAGTGAAGCGACATATTCCTGAATAAAAGCCAATTGTCATATTTTAAATAGTCCCAAAAAGTAAAATTACAAAATTTTTGTAAAAATAATATTTTGATTTAACCCCAGAAATGTCACATTTTTAAGATGCCCTACAATTAAAATTAGCGAAGTTGACTAAATTAATAATGATAATTTTTCAACTGCCAACTGATCTAATTTTACTTTGCATTTCGGTTTTAGCTGACCGTTTTTTTTTAAATTTATACTGTAGATATATACCTTCATCTTTTATGTTAAAGAGTAGGGTATCTTGTAAAGGCTGTTGTGTCTAGAGTTGTAGTCTTTGAAGTCAGATAGAGAGAGAATTCACATTACAAGCATTATAAGCTATAATTAATAGTATTATTAAAAAGCATATTCTTGATCATGTGCATAAATGTATTCTTTATTTAAATGTTTGTTATTTAGAATCTTTTTGAAGAATGACTATACAATAACTGTTTATCCATATGTCTACAAATGTAACAAATATGTCTTTTAGTTAAACATTTAATAGTCACATTTCTTGAAAAGTATGATTATAAAATTAAAGCTTTTGTCATAATTATGAAGAACATTGAACTAAATTTTGTTCATATTTTATATTAATCTTAAGCATGTTTGATTATAACTCAGACTTATCGTCTTGTCCACAGCTGTCTTATTTCCTAACAACAGGAACAACATTTTTTTTGTTTGGTTTGGTCGGATTTAATTAGTTAATTGATTACTACGTACATCCACAAAATGACACTTAATTGCAATTAAAAATGTTTG